CATGCACTCGTCGCTCAGCATTTGTGCCAGCAATCGACCGTTTGTGTACAGAACAATTTTTCATGCAAGTGCATCTCAAGTCATCCTCGTGCCTGCCTGGGCCCAAAACATGCAAATCCATTGGGTTTTCCAAGAAGCATGCATGTGCATTACAACATGAGGAGCTTATGTCGACTCTCCCAAGTTGTGCAGCAGCAGTTTCTCAAACCTGTCATGCATCGCTATCGAGCGACCGGGCCCCCCTAAACCCTAAACCCTTAAGCCCTAAACCTTAAACCCGTTAACCCTAAACCTTAAACCCTAAACCCTAAACCCTAAACCCTAAACCCTAAAAAACTCTAAACCACCCTAAACCCTAAACCCTAAACCCTAAACCCTGAGTTAACCGGAAATTTAAGCCTAAACCCTTTCTGCACCCGGATCGAGCGACTGGGCCCTTGCAGCCCGTTCCCAGGGCCGGGGCCCCTGCCTTTTTTTAGTGTGTCTGCATGCTCGATCATGCACGGAGGAGTTTTGGCGATCGTGGTAAAACGCCCTGCCCAGGCCGGAGAGATGTACGATATGCACTCTGGCCGATATCGGCCCGATGCCCAAATGAATTTGCAAGCCCGGTGCACAAGCACCATCTTCCTTAAGAAGTATATACCATGAGCCCGAAGGTTCTGAAGAATGTGCTGGCCAATGATCATGCATGAGATCGTGATGGAGGTCGATCTTTTGTGGTCCTGCAATGTACACTTATATGTGTGTTTAGGGTTTAGGGTTGGGGCTTCGAATCTTGCTGCCAGGTGGGCCGATTTGGCACGCTGAACAGCTACAGCTTGCAGGATCGACTCGTGCTGTTTTTCATCCCTAAAACCCAAAGCCTTCATTAAAGGCCTAACCCTCAAGTTCCAACTGCCGAAAAACACTATCCACATGTCTTTTGCATTGAATTCTTGTGCAGCCATGCAGTTGCACATGCTATGTCAATTTCTGTAGGGCCTCGGATCGATCGTGAATTCCTGCCAGGACCCGACCATTGGATGATTTGAGATGATGTGCCGGGCCCCGTGTGCCTGAAGATCAGCTGCTCTTGTAGGATCAGGTTCAGGGCCAAATTAACACGGCTGTGTCCCCAACCAGAAATATATACTTCAGGCTAGAGCTTACTAGAAGACCCTTATGCCGACGGTTTAGGGTTTAGGGTTTGGGGTTTAGGGTTTAGTTGAGGGTTTAGGGTTAGGGTTTAGGGTTTAGGGTTTAGGGTTTAGGGTTAACTTTAGGGTTTAGGGTTTAGGGTTTAGGGTTTAGGGTTTAAGGTTTAAGGTTTAGGGTTTAGGGTTTAGGGTTTAGAGGGTTTAGGGTTAACATGTAGGGTTTAGGGTTTAGGGTTTAGGGTTAGGGTTTAGGAGGGTTTAGGGTTAGGGTTTCGGGTTTAGGGTTTAGGGTTTAGGGTTTAGGGTTTAGGGTTTAGGGTTTAGGGTTTAGGCCCGGGTTTAGGGTTTAGGGTTTAGGGTTTGGGGTTTAGGGTGGTTTAGGGTGGTGTAGGGTTATTTAGGGTTTAGGGTTTAGAAGTGCTGCAGTTCCGATGAACGTGCAGATCTGCAGATATCTGAAAGAAAGGTCCATGCCTGCCTGCATGGTTGCGAGTCTGCAGTGGATACAACCACACCCTATAACAATCCACCAGCCTGTATATATATGCACCCCGAATTTTAACACGATAGCTATATAGGGCCTATGACTGTTATAGGGCGGGGGCTGTATCCAAAATGCAAAGAAGATGTGTGTGATCGCATGCATGTGTGGCTCGATGACGATGTGCATGATCTGTGCTGGCCCAACCGATCGACCCAGATCAGATATCGTGTGGCTGGCATGCTTTCTTCCCAAAAATTTAAAATTGGGGATTTAGGTTGGACACAACCCCTACCCTGTAACAGTCCCGCCTATAAATATAGTAAATTATATAAGCATTGTAATTATATATACCCTATATATTAATTACACTGCTACAGGGTGGGGGCATGTGTCCAAGCTTTAATAGGCTGTGGGTTTTTTTTCGGCTTTAGGCCGGGTTTAGAGCGGGTTTAGGGTGCTTTACAGTTTAGGGCGGTTTAGGGTTTTTCGGTTTAGTGTTTAGGGTTTAGAGTTTAGGGTCTAGGCTTTAGGGTTTATTTTGGGCTTAGGGTTAGGGGCTATAAATTGGTGTGCACACGGTGCACGATGTGCATGCTGCCAGGATCTGCTGGCCTCGTTCTATCCCTGCTTCGAGGCAGGGCATGCAGTGTAAAACTGGAGGGCTCGAGCTGCATGATATTATTTCAATGGGGCTTGTGAATATGTAGAATGTGCCTTGGGTGAATCAACTTGTCAGGTGGGACTCCATCCTCGAGAGGGAGGCCTGTCGGGGGTTTAGGGGGTTTAGCAAATCGGAGACAACCCCCGCCCTATAACAGTCCCACGATTGTATATAGCACCAATTAACCTTAGTAAGACCCTGGATCTACTGACACGACTGTTATAGGGTGGGGGCTGTCTCCAAGGTTTAGGGTTTAGGGCTGAGGGCTTGAAGTGAGCGAAACATTGAGTCTTGCTGGTGTGGGTTCGAGATTCAGTTGAGTCGGTCTTTGAGCGAAGTCGATGATTCCCTTTCGTTGCTGGCCACCAGGCCGGTGATCTTCCTTGGATTCCATCCTCGAGAGGGAGGCCTGTTTGGGTCTGGGTGGGGCTTGGTTTAAATTAACCTGCGATTTTACACCACTTCATGAAGATGCATCTTCCACATACACAAGATGGGAAATTTGCCTGATAGCTCGTGCTAACTTTTCCAACTCTTTCACAAGCCTTTCTGTGTGTGTGTGTGTGTGCACATGCACGGGTGTCTGGGTGTCTGGGTGTCTGGGTGTCTGGGTGTCTGGGTGTCTGGGTGTCTGGGTGTGTGTGGGTGTGTGGGTGTGTGGGCAGGAGGGGGCTCCGACCCAGAAAATCCTGGGTCTGGGTGGGGGGGTGCACGTGTGTGTGTGTGTGTGTGTGTGTGTGTGTGTGCATGTGTGTGCATGTGTGTGTTTGTGTTGCCGGGGTGGGTGCTCGTGTCCGGTTTGTGTTGGTGGTGTTTGTGTGGGTTGTGTGTTTGCTGTGTAGGTTCAGTCTTGCTTGCCCGCTCGAGGCCTGTGGTGCGCGGCCAGCTCGCTCGACTGGGTGACTCGTCGGAGGCCCAGGCACTCTGGAAAGGGTTTAGTGTTTAGGGTTTAGGGTTTAGGCTTTAGGCTTAAGGCTTTCGGGTTTAGGGTTTAGGCTGTAGGGTTTAGGGTTGAGGGTTTAGGGTGGGTTGGTATGGGTTGGTTAGGGTTTGTTGGGTCTGGGTCTATAGTTAGTTTTTTGGGGTGTGGCTCTGCTGCTGTTAGGGCTTAAGGTGTTGTGTCTTATAGGCCCGGGTTTATATACACTATGTTTTACAGCTGTGGGTTGGTATATTGAGTGCAACCCTAAGCCCTAAACCCTAAACCCTAAACCCCAAACCCTAAACCCGAAAACTTAAACCCTAGACCCTAAACCCTAAATAAAACCCTGTAGGGTTCAGGGTTTAGGGTTTAGGGTTTAGGGTTTAGGGTTTAGGGTTTAGGGTTTAGGGTTTAGGGTTTAGGGTTTAGGGTTTAGGGTTTAGGGTTTAGGGTTTAGGGTTTAGGGTTTAGGGTTTAGGGTTTAGGGCCGGCTCAGGGTTTAGGGTTTAGGGTTTAGGGTTGAGTGTTTAGGGTTTAGGGTTTAGGGTTAAGGGTTTAGGGAAAGCCCGAAACCCTCAACCCTAAACCCTAAAACACTAAACCCCAAACCCTAAACCCTAGGGTAAACCCTAAACCCCAAACCCTAAACACTAAACCCTAAACCCTAAAACCCTAGACCCTAAACCCGAAACCCTAAGCCCTAAATCCTAAACCCTTAACCCTGATACTATCCCTAATCCCTAAACCCTAAACCCTAAACCCTACCACCCGAACCCCAAACCCTAAACACTCAGACCCCAAGCCCTCAACCCCGAACCCTAAACCCTAACCCCTAAACCCTAAACCCTAAACAAAAACCCTAAGCCCTAAAGCCGAAACGGCCTTCTTTCGTGTGGGTGACAAAGGCTGCAGTGCTCTTGTGCAGTGTAGAGCAGAAGGAATTGGACAGGCGGTTTGGGGTTAAAAAAGGTTAAAAATCTTAACCTTTTTTAACCTTTTTTTAACCGCTCTTGTCGAGTAGTTTTCCTTTTAAACAGGGGTTAAAAAAAAGGGTTAAAAAAGGTTAAGGTTTTCAACCTTTTTTAACCCCGCCCAGGTCATGGTGAAGAACCCGAAGCCGGCATGTGTGAAGAGCAAGGCGAAGACGAAGGCGAAGGCGAAAGCAAAGGAGCCGACTTCTAGTGCTGCGGCTTGGAAGCCGACGAAGGGCGACACCAGCGCTTTTCTGTCGGGGCTGAAGTACAAGGCCGAGAACAAGAAGGCACCAGACAGAGTCCAGGCCCAGGATCTTCTTCAGGCCCGCCCCGTGTGTTTTCCCGGAGATGATGTGTTGCATTATACTACATAACATTAGAGTGTGTTCTATTATACTTCATTCTTTATTCTTTTAATGTACTGTATTCCATTCTATTCTATTTTATTCTATTCTATTGTATTCTATTTTATTCCAAATATACATATAAATATAAATAAAAAATCTAAATATAAATATAAAGACAAATATAAATATAAATACAACTATAATTCTGAATATAAATGCAAATATAAATATAAATATAAATATAAATATAAATATAAATATAAATATATGAAACAATTACATATAAGTATAAATATAAATATAAATACAAACAATATATATATATATATGTATATAAATATATATATATATATATACATATTTATATATATATATATATATTTAGGTATATGTATATAAATATAAAATCATGAATAGAGTATAACACCACAAAACAAAACTTAAGAGTTGGGCTTTCTCTTGCTTTTCGGATCATGCAGGCATACCACGAAAGCTCCTCTGACGGGAAGCACGACTTGATCGCGAAGTACATGAAAGAGGGGGGGATAAAGTCGCTAGCCTGGGTGGCCGGCTATGTGGAGAAGAGCAAGACCAGAGAGGGCGAGCAAGTCGTGTGTGACAAGGGCTGGTTTACGATGCTGAAAATTTTCGAAAGGGAGGGTGTGGTGCTCAACGACAAAAAGAGGCAGCCAGTTGTGTTGGAGGCCATGAGGAAGGCCAACTACCAGGAGCACTCCGTCCAGTACAACAACCTCGACGACTTGAAGAAGGAGATCGCAGGCTGCCCCGAGCTCACAAAGTACTACTATGTTTTCGGCAAGAACACCAGCATCCACAGCGAGATGAAGGACACCAGTGTGGAGATCTCCACCAGCCTGAAGCCTTCCAACCTTGCCTTGGCACTGAAGGATGGTGCAGCAAGCAGCTCGCAGACAACCGTGAAGATTGAGAACCCCGAGAAAGTGCAGGCCCAGCAGGTGGCTACTGTGCTCAGCTCTGGCAAGGCAGCCATTCAGAAGATCCTCTCGCCCATCGAGGATGGAATCTCCATGCTGGAGTGCAAGAAGAAGAAGGAGTTCGAAGACTTTCTGAAGGAAGGCACGAGCCACGTCAAGAAGGCTACCGACTTTGTGGAGAAAGCCCGGAAGGTTCTGGCCCTGCATGCCAGCATGGAGAGTGATGAGTCTTGCACAAAGGAGGCCTGGACAGACCACACCGCCAAGATCGAGAACATGAACAGCCTGGCTAGTGTGCACTTGGATGGCTTGAAGCACTACAAGTCACGTATGCAGGCCCTGAGCTAGCCGTGGTTTGTGTAGTGTGCTTTTTGTTTCGATGGAGTCGAGCAGGCTTGTGTGTACAAAGGAGTCTATGAATGCATTGAGTATTCTCATGTTGTTGAGTGGCTTGCATGCAGTTGCAAGCATGCATATTTGGACAAGATCCAGCTGCATATTGCATCGATTATAAGGCTCGCGATGCAGTTGCATGCAGGAGTGGTATGCACCCCCCCGCCCCCCCCCCCCCCAGGGTTATGAGAAGAAAATTTAAAACTCATAATCTGACCCCACTTTCCTACTTCGAGCCCGAAAACACCAGTTGTCCTTATATAGTATTTACCCTAAAGAGTCACATTGGGTCCCATGCCTTTAAAACCTAGAAATCCCCACCCTAAACCCTAAACCTGAATGTGGACCGTGCACTGAATCCGGCTTTAACAACTTCAAGCCCGAATATCCTATTGTTCATACCGGCCACCAGCTAAAGCCCGAAACCCTTAACCCGAAAGATGTCCAGATGCATGCCATGGCTTTTTGCACTGGAGCTCCTGGGTACATATGGAGAATCGGAAAGAGTTTTTGGCGCGGCGAGGTGATCAGCCTCCTGAAAGGAGGCTTCGGGAGAACTTGGCCGATTTATTCCTTTCCGGGGAAGTGAGTGGCAAGCGGGCTCGTAGCTTGTTTGAAGACGCCGTGTCTGCAAATGCGACGAACGTTCAAGACCTCGCACAGGGATCTACTGATCATAATGCACATCGAGATGTTCTTCGCAAATTGCTTGCTGGCACCAAATGGCCCAACTTGTTTCAGTTGCCTCTGCCAATATACAACCCGAAAACAGACAAGCAAGATGTCGCACACGTCTACATGATGCTGCCTCATGAAGTGTTGCATGCTTTGGCTCGCTGGTCTGACTCCCTGGGCAGTTTGGCTTCGACTGAACAATTAAGGCCCGAGCTGGCGACCAAGCTACAACGAGCTCGTCGTTTCTTGCAACAGAGTACAACCGGCTCTAGCAGTTCAGCAGCCGAGCCACCCACGACAGTTGGCATTGGTTTATGGGCCGATGGAGTGCCCATAAAGGGCGACCGAAGCGAATCGCTGGAGATGCTGTCCATGAGTTTACCAGGATTGCAAAACTCCATCCGAATTCCTCTTACCTGCCTCAACAAGAAGTATTTCCTCAAGTCTGGCGAAACATGGGATGCTTTGTTCAAAGCCGTGGCATGGTCTTGCCATTGCATGTTTGCCGGCTCTTTTCCGGCTTGTACTTGGGATGGCCATGCTTTAACTGGCCAGAGGGCTGGCCTGGCAGGTCGTTCGCTGCTTGTCCATGGGGTTCTCCTTGAGATTCGTGGCGACTGGGCCATGCTCAAAGCATCCTTTCGTACGCCGTCATGGAGCTCCAAGCGGAATTGCTGTTTCGTCTGCAAGGCCAACCCTGACAACATGAGGGATGTCAGCCCTCGTGCAGCTTGGCGGGCAGAGATGTGGAGCAATGCCGAGCTCTTGGCAGAAATGTTGGAGTTGCATGGGGTGTACTCGCCAATTTTCGAGGCACCCTTCGTGGACATCCATACATTCTGCATTGACTGGCTGCACTGCTGTGACCTTGGCGTGTGCCAGGACTTCATGGGAAACGCGATGTTTCTCATCAGCCAGAAGCTGGCCGGCAATGCAGATGAACGAGTTCGAGCACTCTTTGAGGACATTCGTGGCTTCTACCGGGCAACAGACTGCCAAGATCAATTGGGAACACTCACTCAATTGATGATTCGCAAAAAGGCCTCGAAAAGTCCGAAGCTTCGTTCAAAAGCTGGAGAAGCTAGGGCTCTGGTCCCGTGGCTAGTGGTGGCATGCGACAGATATCTGCAAGGCTTTGGCAGTTCCTCTGAAGAAGAAACCTGTCGCATAGCTGCAAAGCACTTGCAGGGTTGCTACGAGAACCTGTCTCAGGATCGCTTTGATGCCGACCAGTTGGCTTTTCACTGTCGTCAGTTTTTGCAGCTTTACACGGCTTTGGAATCTGCTGTTGAGGACAATCGCTGGAGGTACAAGCCCAAATTTCACGTTTGGTTACACCTATGTGAGATGGCTTCGAGCTCTCCAGTTCTTTTCTGGGTATACCGTGACGAGTCCTTCGGGGGAACGATTGCTACCCAGTCCCGTATGCGAGGTGGCAAAGAAGGCCCCGAGCCAATGTCAAAAAACTTGCTTAACAAGTTCAGAGCCCAGCACCTGGTCCCTCAGCTGTGATCGAGTGCAAGCTATTCTGCTGTCCAAAAATAGCATCCCACCAAAAAGCCCTAGCACCCAACACCCATGCACCCTACCCAGAGACTCCAATACCCCTTGATATTACATAAGGAATATTGATCCCTTAAACCCTATAGATAAGGAACCCTAATTATATGTCTTAAGGATATCTCAAGGGTATTGGAGTCTCTAGGTATACACCCTAAATACCGGCCCTAAACCCTAAACCCTAAACCTGTAGAACTCGATCTGTGAGATCCACAATATATATAGCAGACTGCAGATGTCGCCTGCACTGGCCCAGCTGGAAAGTCGAGCTTTTAAGCTTGAAGTGCTAAGATTGCCTCCGCTTGCGACAAAAAAGGACGGGCCGCTTAAATCCGATTCACATGGTTGGTTGTGCTATATTCAATGGGACCATGCAACTGGATCGATATATTCTTGATGTATAGACAGGGATTTTGTAGGCATTCATGCATGCATTTTGTTTTGTAGGTTGAGTTCAAAGATCGCTTAAGCCTACATGATCGAAGAGACATACAGGTACACCTGTGCTGTGGAGATATGTCCTCGTGCACACATTGTTTTGTAGGCATTCATGTACACGTTTTGTTGTGTAGGTTGAATCCAAAGATTGCTGGCTGCAGATCGAGCTTGTAGTAAGAACGTTAATATGGTGCTGCTGGCCTTCTCTTGAAGTCCAAAGATTGCTGGCTGCTGCAAACCCTGCAGGTCTTAAGAATGGTGCTGCTGGAACTATCTTTAATGCACACATGCATGGTTTTGTAGGCACTCATGCATGCATTTTGTTTTGTAGGTTAAGTCCAAAGATATTGCTGGTTGCTGGCTCCAAAGCCTGCAGTAAGAACGTTTGGCCCGCTGCCCCTATCTTGAAACATAGGCAGTAAGTCCAAAGCTTGCTGGCTGCTGGGTGCAAAGCCTGCAGATCTTAAGAATGGTGCTGCTGGAACTATCTCTTATTGCATGGTTTTGTAGGCACTCATGCATGCATTTTGCTTTGTAGGTTGAGTCCAAAGATTGCTGGTTGCTGGTTGCAGAGCCTGCAGTAAGAACATTTGGCCTTGAAGTATAGGCAGTAAGTCCAAAGATTGCTGGCTGCTAGCTGCAGAGCCTGCAGAATCTTAAGAATCCATCTGCATGGTGCTGCTGGCAGTATACCTTTCGCATACATGCTTGGTTTTGTAGGCACTCATATGCATGCATTTTCTTAATTTTGTAGGTTGAGTCCAAAGATCGCTCGCTGGCTGCAAAGCGCCTGCAGACTTAAGAAGTGGTGCTGCTGAAGAAATATCTTGAATGCATGGACATGGTTTTGTAGGCATTCATGCATGATTTAAATTTTGCACGTTTTGTAGGTTGAATGCAGAGATCACTGTTTGCAAGGCCTGCAGAAGAGTGAGGTGCAGCTCAAAGATCTGCAGAAGACTGCTGCTGCATGTTTACTTGAAGACTATATAGGCATCCCGTAAGCATGTGCCCGAAGAGACAGAGAGAGATGAAAGAGAACTTGCAAGAATTTTTTCATTTGACCATGTTTTTTTTGGTTTAGGATCATATAGGATCACGAAGCATGCAGGCACGACATGGGCCTGAAGAACCCTGCACGCATGATCTGTGATGCAAGAGGTTAAGACATGCACGAAGGGCATCTGCACATCTATCTTACTTAAGGCCATGTGTGATAGTGTGTGCTTGTGGTTAACATTTTGCACGTGTCAACAACACAGGTGTGCACATCACATGTGTGTTTGTGTGTTTGTGCGTTTGTGTGTTTGTGTGTTTGTGTGTTGGTGTGTTGGTGTGTTGGTGTGTTGGTGTGTTGGTGGTGTGTTGGTGTGTTTGTGTGTTTGTGTGTTTGTGTGTTTGGGTGTTTGTGTGTTTGTGTGTTGGTGTGTTGGTGTGTTGGTGTGTTGGTGTGTTGGTGGTGTGTTGGTGTGTTGGTGTGTTGGTGTGTTGGTGTGTTTGTGTGTTTGTGTGTTTGTGTGTTTGTGTGTTTGTGTGTTTGTGTGTTTGTGTGTTTGTGTGTTTGTGTTTGTGTGTTTGTGTGTTTCATGCATGGGCATAACCATGTGCCAATGTAAATATCAATGTGCCCATGCCCCAAAATTATTCTTTGTTAAATTTATTTTCGGAAGAATTTTTCAAATTATTCTTTTTTAAAATTCTTTTGTCATAAACGATTATTTTTCCTTAAAATTATGTGTTAAATTAATTAAGAGGTATTGGAGTCTCTGGGTTCCGCCCTCTGCACACTTCGCGCCCTCCGCGCCCTCCGCGCCCTCGGCGCGCTCCTGCGCCCTCCGCGCCCTCCGCACCTCCGCGCCCTCCGCGCCCTCCGCGCCCTCCGCGCCCTCCGCGCCCTCCGCGCCCTCCGCCCTCCGCGCCGCGCCCTCCGCGCCCTCCGCGCCCTCCGCGCCCTCCGCCCTCCGCGCCCTCCGCGCCCTCCGCGCCCTCCGCGCCCTCCGCGCCCCCGCCCTCCGCGCCCTCCGCGCCCTCCGCACCCTCCGCGCCCTCCGCGCCCTCCGCGCCCTCCGCGCCCTCCGCGCCCTCCGCGCCCTCCGCGCCCTCCGCGCCCTCCGCGCCCTCCGCGCCCTCCGCCCAGGACGCAGTGCGCTGACAGGGTGCAATGCGTCTATTCTGCGGGTGCTTTGCGTCTATTCTGCGGGTGTTTCCTTTGTAAAGTATTTGTTTACAAGTCACGCACGTGCAGCATAGCCTTTAAGTGTCCATCTTACGGGGGGGGGGGGTGATGATAGCGTGTTCCACGTGCTCCCCAACAACAGCGGGGTGTGGTGGGGCTTGAGAAAATAGCGTATTCCACGTGCTGCTCAACAACAGGGGGGTGGAAAGGACGTGTTTCTCGACAACAGTGGGCTGTGGGGTGGGGGGGCGGGGGGGGTTGATAATCGCGTGTTCCACGCGCTCCCCAACAACAGCGGGGTGTGGTGGGGTGGGGGGGGGGGGTTCCGCGCTCCCCAACAACAGCGGGTGTGGTGGCGTGGGGGGGGGGGGGGGCTTGATAATACCGTGTTAGCAAAACACGCTGTGTTTTGCAGTGTTTTGAGCCTCTGTGCGCAAAAAAGTCACAAGTGAGAGGCAGCTTTTTTCAAAAAGTCACAGGCGAGAAACGAGAAAAAGTCACAAGCGAGTAAAGATCCGTCCTGTGTAGTACTCCATCAGTGCATCCATGTTGGTGTTCAATGCTGAGGTTGCTTCTTGAATGTTTTCATTGATGATCTTGTCCCCCTCGATCACCGAGTCCTTGATGCAGTACAAGTCACAGAAAATGCGCGAGAATGACGCTTTCTGGCCGCCGCAATCCTTCTTGACCTGATGCCACTTTCCGCCCTCCAAGCTAAAAGTAAGAGCCTGATTGGCGGCTCCCAGGCTGCTGCTCGATGTAGACAGGATCTGCTCGCAAATTTTCCCTGGCTCCGTACTGAACCCGATCCCCCAGACGGCCATCACAGGGTTTGGGATCCAGCTGCAACTGCCAAGCTTCAGATAGTCGAGTGCAGTTTGGGCCACAGACGTCGCGGTGTTGAATGAACCTGTGAGCATGTCGTACATGAAGTCCCTGTTAGTCTGGCGGGTGAAACAGCCGAAAATGTTGTCGTAGGTATACCCCGCTTCGCCTTCTCCCTCCGTTGCCTCACCTTTCTCATCCATCTCGGCTGCCCACCAGCTCGCGCTTCCCTCTTCTGCGAGCTTCTCAGCATCTTCCGGGCTGTCCGGAACCGGGCCAGACACCCAGCGGCAGGGGTTCTCGGTAGGGAGTTCTTCGGCGTTGGCATAGGTCAAAGCCTGACACTCAGGTTTCTGCTCATATTGCTTTGCAATGAACTGGACCAACGCGGGCTTCGTGCGCGTCTTCACTCCCTTCGAAGCCCCCCCTCCAGCTCCAGCAAAGGCTCCATCAAATGGGCTCGCAGCGACGACCTGCCAGCGGGAGGAGTTCTGCGCAATGTCACTGCAGCCGGTGGCATTTGGAGGACATGCTCCGCGCGGTCCCGGGTCCTCCAAAGCTTCTCCCTGGGCGCCGAGTGGGAATTCGGTGTTGGCCTTGGCGCATCTTGGCAAGGGCGTGCTGAATTGCTGCTGGCTCAGATTGTCCCAGTTGCAAGGGGCCGACATGGCTAGGACTTCATCTCGGCAGATGCCCTGGACATGGCTCGGAAACTGCGAATCCCCCCCCTGATTAAAGTAAACGCCGCCACCATTCGGGTTGAGGTGGCACCGAGCCACGCTCCCCCAATTGCCCGCACCCTTGTATGGGATACCCAGAACTTCCGCGGCGATCTGACAGTGTGTCTCGTCAAGGTCCGTTGCTCCTTCGCAGGGATTTCCGGCGCTTCTTGTGATGTAGCCCCCGCCGGAAAGGATGAAGCTGGACACATGTGCCTCCATGCAAAGTTCTGACCCGCCAAGTGAGAGTCGGCCCTGGAGATCCAAGACCAGCATTTGTGCGGAACTCGCATTGGGGTCCCACGGACAGGCGTGGAGTTGTTGAGAATCTGGGTTGCTGAAGTCCACAGCTTTGGGACTGCCTCCCTCAATTGTAAGATATTTCCCGTACATCCATCGCCAGCGCTGCTTGGGTTCAGACGAATTGCAAGCTTGGAATACCAAGGGATGGCAAGTAGAATCATAGAGATCAGCAGTTGCGTCCACTGCCAAGCAAAATCCGTCGTACCGAACAAGACCTTCAGCTGGGGGGCACCATTCGCTCGTCACCTCGTTGTAGTAAAAGTGGCCATCCAAGCTTCCATCCTGGCTGAAGGAGCTCCGCTGGGAGAATCGAAGGCGTCCCGAGATGTCTCGCTCATACGGGCAGTACAATCCTTCCCATGCAAGGCTGGGCACAACGTAGCCGGAGGGGAGAAAACCCATTGGAACTGCGCCGATCATGCAGCAAGTGTACCGGTAGCGAAACCAAGTGCCACCCGAAGATGTTTCTGGAAGCACACTCTGCAATCCTTGTTGGTAGTTGCATGCCATCAGCGCTATTGCCAAGTCCCCTTCTTCGTCCACCTGCGGGGTTGTGTAAGCACTGCAGTCTCCCAGGCTGGCCATTGGGGAACACGAGAAGGTGACGTTCAGCGAACCTTGTGGCTTTCGAATTGAAGTGAATAGGTAGCCGGGCTCACAACCAAATGGCTGCATCGTACTCAAGTCGCTTTCGTTCAAAATGGCCAAAACGCTCGAACTGCGGGGCAGGCCAAAGGCGCCAGCGGCAGTGCAGACCACTTCGGCACTGGAGAAGGAGAACGTGCGAATCGGAAAGTCGCTGCAGTTCACATCCACGTCCACATCTCTCAAGTCTTTGATGCTGGCGCTTGTCCTCGTGTTCTGCTCAGGTGCATGCGCGGTGTACTCGCCCAACAGGTTCACCGTCACTAACGTGGTAACCTCAGCGATATCCAGCAATTGCTTCCTTTCATCGGAGCAATTCTCTGAAAGGAAATCTCGTCCATCGACCGACAGGCACTGCGAACGCCTTTCAGATGACTCGAGCCTCCACAGTTGTCCATCTGCAGGGTCCGGAATACGCACCAAAAAGCCTCCTGGGCTGGCTTTCTCTTCCGGCGCGTGGCAAAGCTTTGGAGCTTGCTGCGGCGTCTTCCTCATGCAAATGCTGAAATCCTGAGGCGTTGTGCTGCCGATTTCTTGGTAAAAAGAGCAGGTTGCCTCTTCACCCGGCTTGAAGTATGCGTGGGACAGGCCAGCACACTCCTGGTGAAGCCAGCAGTATATGGCGCACCTCTCTAAGCAGGCATCTCCGGCTGCTGCAGCGCACTCAAGTTCGGACTCCAACACCGTGCCCTCACAGGACGCTTCCGCCTCCGACTCAAGGACGAAGCCAAACGGAATACTCGGCATTGCCGGGGTAGTGGTGCTGGTGGTGGTTGCCTTTGCCCAGCAACGTTGGTTCTTGGCCAGGGCAACCTCCTGGGCAACCGGACGGCTGCGATGGAACGTGCAGGTGAAGGGGTATATGGGAGGCGTCGGAATGCAGAAGCAACACGCATCAGGGGTGCGAATCGTGCAGTCCACGACTTGGGGGCAGGTGTATGGAAGTATACAGCAGGAGGGCGGTATGTTAATTTGACAGTCTTCAGGCCGGTTGCACGGACCACACTCTTTTGGAGGAATAAAGAAGACAGAGAAACCATAGCCCATGCAATCTGGGTTCGTTGCGCACTGCTGCTGGCATTCTGCAATGTGGGACGCATAGAGGATGCCATCTGACATCCTCTTCCCATCAAGCGTGGAACTCACATTGACATCTGCACAGGCCTTCGCGTCAGCGACAGACGCCCAATCCACCTCCTCGTCCTCCTTCTCCTTTGCATGCTTTACTGCCTTGATGCAAAGCTGCGCTGCCACATCCTCAGTCTCATCTCCAGCAGATTCCGGGATGAGTTTCTCGGAAAAACCCAGCTCCTCTGCTACCGCCAGGTCGATTGGACTGGCGCCCCATACGGCCTCCGTGACGAATCTCGTGGCCCTATCCCACGAGCACAGGGCTACGCCAAGGGCCGTGCCTGAGGAGTCGCGCTCCAAGCACAAGCCACCTGACTTGGAGCTCCAGAGACCTTCTGGGCTGGCACACCACCTCGCCCAATCATCCCCACAATCTCCCAGCAGAAGTCTGCCTGCAGACTTCGGAGCCGACCTGTCGGGCACAATGCACGTTGAGCTCAGGGAATGGTTTGGCGGCACCAAGACCCGAAAGGCAACTCCGGCCAACCCGGCCGTGGACTCCACAGAGAAATGCTGGAAATTCGAGCCCACATCTCTCTTTGCAAAATATGTGTTGTTGTATGTGCTAGCTTGCCATGAAAGCTTGACATCTGGATCGTGCACCATGACGCTTCCCAGCCACTGCCGCTTGTTTAAGCTCACCGCAACAAGTCCGCCATGCCGATCGAGCACATGGCTAGTCTTGGTATCCACTAGCATCTGCATCTCATGGCGCATGGCAAAGTACAGCTCCTGCTTCTCTGCATCTTGAAGGGCAGCGTAAGGAGCACGAACCAGCTGCACACAAGCTGCACATGCAAAGCTTGAAGCTTCAGCGACCCACTCACCACCAAGGCAGGTCAGCTGAGTTTGTGCTTTTTGTAGCGCTCCTTCCTCATTGTCCCCCGGGACTGCGCTGTAAAACTCCTCCCAGCATGAAAGCTCCAGCGTTGTCCCTGGCCTGAAGGGTCCCTGGAGAGGCTTCTTGCGCCGCCAGGAGTGCGAATCTGCAAAGGCGTACTCGCACTTCCCACACTCCTCAATGCTAGCGCCACCGAGAAGTAGCTGCCAGTCGCAGAGTTCCAGCTGCTCTTGGAACACACAGCGGCCTCCTGGGAGAGAGGAGACATCGGAAGCTCCGAGCATCCGGCGTCGCACAGTTGTGGACCAGCATGCCTCAGGATCAGACTTCCTGCAAATCTCCCTGGATGGTGGCATGCCGTACAGGCTGCCTTCTGACCCAATCTCTCGCGCCAGGAAGCGGCAGCTCCGGTAAAGCTTGCACTGCGATGCCCCCGAAGCTGCGCCCACCCAGAAAAAGTTACAGTCTGCAAGGGCCCGGCAAGATGCAGCACAAAGGTTGAGCGGGATTTCCCGAACATCCATCTGAACGAAGTTCAACAAGTCAGCCTGGTTGCAAGTGTAAGCGCCTTTCGCGATCAGGAACTGTTGCGCTTTGTGCTGTGCTGCGCTTTCTTCCTGGTCTTCTGATTCCCACGCTGGCGGAAGGCATTCACAGGGATGCAAGGAGAAGTCAGCTGGTTCGACAGTCGAGACGTCATCCACGATGACTGCTGAAAACTCTTCGTTGGCTCCAGGGTCACCTTCGATGGAATGGGAGGTCAGGTTTGGAGCGCTGCATTCTCCACCATCGAGCTCGAGAAACAAATCGCTGGAGCTGGCCCCTACGAAGCTGCTGTTTGCAGCAATGGACACCTGCTGCCTGCCATGGCTGAAAACGAGCGAAACCAACTCCCCTTCTGCTGTTGCCTGGATGCATGCGAGATCCTTCCCGTGCAGCTCCAGGCGAGAATTGTTCACATCCGGGTCCATAAAGTCGTCGGCTGGATCTGAACTTTTGAGAATCAAGCTGCCGTCTTCACAGGTGACGTTGGTGATGTTGGTGACGTTGGTGATGTTGTGCTGGCTTTGTCGGAAAGGAGCCAGATAGTGAGCATCCTGCTGAGTGACCCCATCGTGTAAATAGATTGCATCACCGTTGCTGTCGGCCATGGCTGGGCAGTAGGTGCCAGCGTAAAACTGGTTGTCAGTGTTGAAGCGGAGGCAAGTCAGGCGCTCAGAGCACCGGGGAATCTTTTCAGTGATGTTCGCATACACTTGGCAACCCGAGCCGGCATTGCAACGAGCACTCAGAAACAAGCATTCCCCACTGGCGGCTGTGAAATGCGAACAGTTGGCCCTCCTCCGGCATTCGGATTTGCAACTGTCAGCTGTCACCTGCTCCGCCACTCGCCATGCGCCTGAGACCGATGGCTTCCAACAGGTGTCGTCATTGATCTGGACTGATAGGTTGCCCCGAACTGTGATGCGACGCCCGACTTGCCAGCAACCTCAGGCTGTTGCGCATCGCGTCGCCTTTGTCCAGAAGGTAAGACAAGCTCGAGTTCCCATTTGGAAGCACAATGCCACTTGTGGGCTCCAAGGCGAACACGTCATGACCATCAAGTGTTGCTTGGCCTGTCAGCACATCAAATGCGAAGACGACATCTCCAACATCACAGGAGCATGCTGCTGTGAAGTTTGTGGGTGGGAGGCTCCACTGTCGCTTCGAAGCGTCTGATGGGATTGTTGGCGGCGCCTCCACACCAATGGTCTGCCGAATGTGTGGATTTGTCCAGGCAACAGACGACCAGGGTGTTGGCACCAAGATAAGCAGCGAAGCTTCGACTGACTGTGTCTGAGAAATCCTTCCCACCACTCGACAGTGCAACCCGCTGCCATGATTCAAGGCAAGACCTGGGGCGTTCATGTCCGTTATGCCATATGTGTTGTTTGGCGCTAAGTCCGGGGATATTCGTATTGTACCGTTTGAAGTATCCAAGCTCAGCCATGGGGTCTCTTCAGACGGCACACATGCCATGGAGAATGCGTCACCATCACCTGCAAATCCAAAACTGGATTGGGGGTCAAACGTTGCTACGCCTGACCCGCGTGGAACAAGCAGAATGTTGTCCGAGCCGTAGACGAGCTTGCTTGCATGCATTATAAGGTTTGCAGAAAAGTTCAGGCCCTCACTTTGGTGAGCAGTGACGAGGCAGCTCACGCTGAATGGTTCATGAGAGCCGCAGCCAACCGTGCTGCAGGACTTAACAAGCTCCACCTGGCCGGTGGATGCATTCAGCGTCAAGTTGTGGTCCAGAAGCGGGCAGCCTGCGTTCACAGAGTAATGGGCCGCCGTCCGCGGAACGGGGTGGCCGAGGGAGTCACTTGGTCTTTCACCTAATACCAACGTCCTGGCGAAGTATGTGAAAGCCGTTGCTTGGCGATGACCCCCACCACAGTGGCAGCATGCCATATTTGCGGACAGGAAATGATACTCTTCATCGGTACAATCAGAGATCTCAAGTTGCACACAGGATTTTCCTGCCTTATTCACCCACCCTGGAGTGTCCATGCAAGCTTCGCAACGAGTACTTGTTGGAGTGCCTGTTTCGTCAAGGTTGACGAAGCCTCCTGCGCAATCGTGGCAGCCTGCCTGGGAGGCATTGCCACAACCGGCACACCAAAGGGCAGTTGCAGGGCAACAGAACCCTTCACAAGCGGCCGGGTCCTGTGCACATGCGCTCTCAGTAACGATGGGGATGTGGGTTCCCGGCTCACAAGCGCTTGTGGTGTAAGACACCAAACTCGACTTTGGCGCCCAGCCTGGGACCCTCGCGTGTGCAATGTGTTCACCATGCGCGCACAGCTCAAAGTCATGGGCCTGTTGGGCACTCCGGGCCTGCCATGTCCTGGGGTTGCGATCTTCCTTCCGACCGTGGCTCCACACTCCCTCGGTGACCAAGATCCACAAGGTCCATCCGAAGCGGCCAATCTTCCCCATGATCCTTTGCTGGAGGTTGCCAGCACAAGTTGGACGCTGAGTGAAACAAGTGTGTAACCGAAATGGCTCGAGCCAAGTGGGACACTGCACGGGACGAGGAACTAAATTAGAGAGATTTTGCATGGCGAGCGGAAGCCGACACGAGGAAATCCACAAACACTCTCCATTGTTTTCCCCTCAACGCACTCACGGAGATGACGCCCATTTCACGCTCACTCGAAGAAGGCTACCAAGCGCACCTGAGGCTGAGGAGAGACGTGAAGAAGGATGAAGAAGGATGAAAAAGAGGACGACAAGAGGGGCCTATCCAGAAGCCCTTCTGACATGGGGCAGCTGAGAGGCACCTCGATGCTCTCGCGGTCTTTGGCATCATGCAAGCTCGCCTCGGGGAGCGTCAGAGACCGCTTTAGGATATTGCCGAATCATCCTGCTTCGTCATATCCTTCTGATGTTACATAGTCGAACATGCCATAACACTGGATATCATGACCCCAAAGTGTACAAGATGCTACGCTTGCATCTCTGGAAACTTCTGGACCGAGGCGCCACCTCTTCGAAGGAGCCGTGCAGGGAGAAAGTGGCCGGCACCTCCCCGCCCTCCGCGCCTTTCGGCTTGAAGTCCCTGCCTCAGGCAGCTCCGGTGCTTCGGACATCTACCTGAGCCCCCAACTGAAAACCCGAGCTGACATGCTGACTCGATTGACCCTCCCTGCGAACTATGTGCATCCGAACGTTGAGATGGAAACCCTACATTGGCATGCAGAGCATACCGGAGGAGGGAAATCTTCACGATTTTTCCTGCACGCAAGGGCCCTGGACAGTGAGCAAATCGGTTGGCACATGTACAAGGCTCAGCAATGACCTCCTGGATACAAACAAGGTCATGCAATCTCTCGCATCTGAGGCCAAAAGTGACTGATCATCTTTCGGCCATCGTCGTTCCAGGCCACACACACACAAGTAGTGCTCTTACTCATTCCGATTCAGCCAGCCCATCGTCCATCGCCAAAACCTTCGAGCCCAAAGCGGCTTTGATCACCAGCTTCATGCGATGGCTCTTCCAAGGTTGCCGTTGGATCCTTGCTGTGGGTTGGAAAAGAAGCATGGCCTGTCTGCGAGGCAGCTTGTGCATTGAACTAGAGCTCCAGGCGACCGACTCGAGAACACATACAGCAGATTACAGCAGGTGAACCTGCCGACCCTTTTGGCTGATGGCATTTGGATGTCACTTTCAGATGCTGGCAGGAAGTCAACAGGTGGCTTGATCATCACCTATGTGGTAAGCTCGCATTCATCCGACTTTCATCGGTTTGCATGTGCCAAAGCGAAAGTCTTCTGTTCGTACCTTGGGCAACATCGTCCACCACATAAAAACCAGCCCTGCACATCCGCCACAGCCATAGGCTAGCCTTAGGACTCATTTCACTCTTTGTCCGCAAAGGGCAGGTAGAACCCCAGGGGTCGAAGAGCGAGGCCATTCACACAACGGTGAGTGATCAATGCCAATTTCGGCAAGTGGGGCCTGCATCTCGCAACCTTGAGAACCGACTTGTACATCACACTGAATCATACTTGATACTCTCTGAAGTACTGGCGTCGAAGCATACCTCTCCAAACTCGTCATTCTGGATCTTCTCTTGCTTCTTCCAGCCCCATTCGGTCTTCAGGTCTGCCACCCACACGCCGAAGATCTTGGACATCTAAGTTCGTGTGGGTGTGTCCCTCGCTCTGGCTGATCCTTGTCCGACACATCCATTCCAGGATCTGGATAACTTTCTATCTCGTCAAGATAGTCTCGATCTGTTTGACACCTTCTGGCAACGGTGTGGTGAGGTCCTTTGAGTTTCATCACCCTTGCCATTCTTTCGTTTGACAAACTCCACAATGGACCCCAAGGAGGCAGACGTCCTGAACCTTCACCCATTGCTGTCATGACTTCTTCACTGTTCCATCGCCATGTGGAGGCTATTGGCGGCTACACGCTCAGGCGCGCCTTGACCTGGCGATGAGGCGGCGAGCTCTCGGCCTAGCCCGTCAGCCTCGGCGATCTAATGGAAGAGTCCGTCACCGCTCCGCGAGCTCCGGTACCATGTAGTGACTGTAGTGCAGAGCACACAGGAGCAGCTAAATCCGAACTATTTGCTGGATGCCAGGGCCCTACAGTGATCGGTTGGCAGACATGTACAAAGTTCAGCAATGGCAACTCGAATCTGTGCTTCGGCTGAAGTGGGAAACACTCAGGGCAGAAGGCGTTACTCTTCATACCTATAAACCCAACCCCGTCAACACCCCAGTCGCCATTGAACTGCAAGACAGCTCATGGATCTGAAGCCCGTTCAAGGAGTCGATGATTTTGGGTTTAAGCTTCTTTTTGCCAGCTTTGCCACACGCCCATAGACTTAGACAAATGGCCTCGGGAGTCCCAGCACTTGAGCAGCATTACCTCGTCCTTCTCCATCCTGGGAAGGCTGAGGTGAGGCTTCCAGGTTGTGGAGTTCAGGGCCGCTTTGCTGTGAGTGGATCTTAGTGGATACAGGGGCCGCTCGCTGATTCTCGTATGCGGGATTTGTCGCACATGTCAAGATCCTGCAGAAGGCCAGAGGAAGCAAGAACCGGGGCTGAAATCCCATCAAGGCCACCCTCAAAGCACCTTCAAAAGGTCTCCAGGGCTTAATGTGCGCGCACACAACTACGCAGAGACTACGCAGCCCCGGTGGCGTCCTTGGGAAGTAGAACCAGCGTTGCTGCTTGGAGTATCTCGCGAAGTAGTTCTCACCTGCAGGGTTGCGCTCCAGTGCCCATACACGCTCGGACTACTTCGTCACGGAAAAGTCAACCTGGCCCAACAAAGTATTCGTATAGTAACTGTAGCGCATGAGGGCACGACCTGTGCGATCTGCGTATCTGATCTCAAAGACGATCAAGTCGTCAAGCGCCTCTGCTACGCTACACTCACCACAGCGTGTGGCGAAACGAATGTGGCTCTGAACGAAGCATGCTGGCGCAAGCGAGAACTTTCATGTAAACTTGGGCATCCTTGTGCATATCTTCAGCTCGCGAGAACTGGGCCCGCAGCTGTGGACTGCGCGTCGCACGCAGCCAAGGGGAAACTCTCCACCGGTGTCTCTGCAATGTTCCGCCAAACCTGACTCGGGACATTTGGCCAAGCAACTGCCAAACATACTGCCCAGCACGACCGCTCAAGACTAAGAAGGCCCCGACGTTGACAAACAGCCACCGTTTCTGCAGCAGAGTGTCCTTGAAGCACTAAGATGTGCTCATGCTGGGTCTAAGCTTGCAAGCAACGGAAGACCGGAAGCACACGTAGGGGTTCTGCCACCTCTGCGGCACCCAGCAAGCTTGATCCATCTGCATTGCGCCGCGTATCATTTTGGCTCGGGGGCTTTGCCAGCCTTGGGCCAGCTTGGGGGGGCTCAACTGATGGCACTGCTTCTGGAATGTCGCGAAAGATCTCAACAACAGCCCAAGACCCTGGCTGACGAATGCGCTGCTCTGCTGAGGTGACTGTGTAATCCTCAGCCACGAGAATTCTCTGCCCCGTGTCAATCTTCGGGGTGCGAATTTAGAATGGATGGAACACAGACCCTAGTAGCCCACAACTTCCCCAAGCCCTAAACCCCCTCCCTCGCCGCCCCAGCAGCAGAACGCGCAAAGGCAAGCGCGCGCTCCGAATCCAACAGCAGCTAGAGGTTGTAACAGGCGTGCGCTGACTCCTTGAGCGCGCACTCTTTCGGATTGCTTTCATAATGGGTTCTTGATGCGCATGGGGCCTTGCCATGTGAACCGCGACACAAGACAAGGCGTGACATACAGAATACAGGCTGGGGCCTTGCCAATGTGAACTCACGACAAACACATTGCGTGACATACAGGCTTGGGACCTTGCCGTATGAACTCACGACAACTACAGGGCATGACAGTCACTCACAAACTGGGGCCTGGCCATGTGCACTCACGAAAAACACAGGGCGTGACATACAGGCCGTGCGGGGCCTTGCCATGTGAACTCGCGAAGAACACAGGGCGTGACATACCGGCTGCAGTCTTGCCATGTGAACTCGTGACAAACACAGGGCGTGACATACAGGCTGGGGCCTTGCCGTGTGAACTCACGCAAGACACAGGGCGTGATATACAGGCTGGGGCCTTGCCATGTGAACTCACGATAAACACAGGGCGTGACAGACAGGCTGGGGACTCGCCATGTTTCCTCACGAAAGACAGCGTGACATGCAGGCTGGGGCCTTGCCATGGGAACTCACGATAAACACAGGGCGTGACATACAGGCTGGGGCCTTGCCATGGGAACTCACGAAAAACACAGGCGTGACTTACAGGCTGAGGGCTTGTCATGTCAAAAAACCTAGTCCGGAACCCACGCTCCGGAACGCGCCCGCAACCTGCTCCAAAGCTGCTCCGGAACCCGTGCTCCGGAACCGGAGCACGGAACCCACTTCGGAATCTTGATGGCAACCGGAGCAACCATACTACAGACCACAAATTCCTACTCACAAAAACGCATACATGAGCCCGCCCTGCACCCCCAACTCGTTAAACCTAAGAAACCTTCCCTCCAAAAAAAATAAGAGACACACACACACACACACACACACACACACACAGACAGATGCACAGAGATGCACAGAGACTGAAACTGGGAAGGCCGCGTTGTGGATGCCGTAGGAGACCAGGGGCTCCTGCACTGCACTGCCGCCTCGAAGCCCTGGGCTTTTTGGGGTTCTTTTTGGGAAGTTGAAGGTTCAGGGCTCAGGGTTGGGTAGGGGATCAAAAAAATGTATTTGGGATCAAAAAATAATTTACTGAAGGCTTCGAAGGCTTCTTGCAAGCGGAACGGAGGCTGTAAACGCTCAGAAATGCAGCAGTTCTGGCCGTTCGCAAGCTCTAAATACCGAAAAAACACAGCATTTTTGCGCATTTCAGAGTTTCCAGAGAGGCTGCAGATATTGTTTGTAGCAGCAGTTCTGCGCTTTCAGAGGCTGGAAATACTGTACACTGCAGCATTTCTGAGTTTCCAGAGGCTGCAAATACGGAAAATAGCAGCATTTCTGCGATTTCAGAGGCTGGAAATACTGTAAATAGCAGCATTTCTGAGTTTGCAGAGGCTGCAAATCAATGCTGGCATCTTGGCATTAGAAGTTTCAAAAATGCGTATACTCTGAAGCATGTATATTCTGGCATAGTATTGTGGAAATTCTTGTATAATATTGTATGACATTGTAGATTCTTGCATGTTATTGTACGTTGTTGTATATATTGTTGAGTATTATTGTATTGTCTTGTGTTTTCTTATGTTTTTGTGTGATATTGCATATTCTTGCATATTATTGAATGTTATTGCATATTTTTCAAATTATTGTATATTAATTGTTCTCTTTTTTTGTAGGTTACTGTATATTATTGTATATTCTTGAATTTTCTTTGTATATTATTGCAGATTACTCTGTATTATAGTATATTATTGTATATTCTTGTATATTATTGTCTACTATTGTATATCTACTATTGTATATTATTGTAATCTTTTGTACACTATTTTATATTGTTGTATGTCTTGCTGTACATCTTTTGTATATTTTTGAAAAATATTGTATATATGGGTGTATATTTTTGTATATTTTTGTACTTGAGAGCAGGGCGAACGAAAGCTAGGGCGCAGGTGTGAAGACCCCATTGTTCAGTCGTGGAAGCTGTACGGACGAGAGGGTTCGGGCGTTCGAGGTGCATGATAAGTTGTGCATCAGCCAACTCTGTCAAGCCGAGCTGGCAGAACACGCAGTACAGAACAAATCCAGACATGTAGACAAGCCCTGAAATGATGGGTAACAATGCTGACCAAAGGGGAGGGGGGGGGGGGGGGGGACCCCTAAGGGGGGGGGGGGGAACCCCTTAAGGGGGGGGGGGGGGGGGGGGGGGGGGGGACCCCCCCCCCTACCATATCGGGAACATGACCCCCCCCCCCCCTGTTAAGCGCTACCTTTGCTTCATGCTGGCCAAGCTTTGCACTTGCAAGGGGTGTTGATTTCGGGCTCGTGCAATTGTATATCCTCTGCCGCATGCTTCAAGCTCAAGGCCAGAGCACAAATAGTTCACGACCATGGATGGAGAGATGCCCTGTGCCAAAAGGAGGCTTCGGAGAGCTCGCAGGGAGGTCCAGTGTCATGCTAGAGATATGTTGACCAATGAAGCGCAGCGTCTTCGGAACAATGTTGAGTACTTGGAGTGGCATGTATGCTACTTGAGTCAGCAGTCTTGGAAGGCAACTTCGCATCAGGACCAGGTCTCCAAACAGGTTAAGAGCCTTGGCGACCCGACTGAGCTGAGTGACATCTATGCGGGCATCACGGCGGTAAGACTGGAGATATTGTCCGATGGCGTTGACCGGCTTCGACAGCTTGTGGCAGAAACTGAGATCGGATGCGTTTCGGTGCAGAATGTTGACACAGAGGGTTCGGCGGACTTCGACAAGGATCTTTTGCCATGGATGCGGATTGCTTTCCCTGAGAGTGTGTAAAAAAGAGGCCTGCGGATATTCAAGGTAACCCCCCCCCCCTCCCCCCCCCCCCCCCCTTCACCCAACAAACCCCCCCTCCCCTCTCCCCCCCCCCCCCCCCCCCTCCCTACAAGAAGGGTGGGGGGGGGGCCCCCCCCCCCCCCCATGCTCAATTCCAAACAAAAACCCGATTACAATCAAAAGAAGTCCTATTAAAACGTTAATCAAAATCAAGTGAAACCCTATTAAGAACACTGTTATTGACCAAGGGGGGGGGGTGGCCCCCCCCACCCCCTTGAACAAGAAGGTGGGGATGGGTGGGGGGGGCCATTGAACCAGAGAGGTTGGGGGGTGGTGTTAGGGTGGGGGGGGGGAGGGTGGGGGGGGGGGGGAGGGGGGGGGGGGGGGGGGTGGCGGGGGGGGGGGTTGTTGGGGGGGGGGGGTGTGGGGGGGGGGGGGGGGGTGGGGGGGGGGGGGGTGGGGGGCTGTGCTTCTTGTTCCCTTTCCCGCAGGCCGCAGTGGCGCGCACTATCCTTTCCCTTCTGGACGATGGGACCTTGCAAGTGGAGAGTGGCGCCGCTGAGCTTGAAGCTTCGTTTCCGTGTCATGTTCGATTCGGAAAGACGCAGTTCTTCGATGCAGATATCAGCAATCTACAGCGTGTTTTCGGATGGTTGGTCGTGCCAGGAACGCGGGAGCCCTGCCCTGCAAGCGAGTGGCACTTTGAGTACGACGACCTCGTATCGGTCACACGCTCTGCGGTGGTTGAAGCTTGTGCAAGTGGCAAAACCCTCGCTGAGTTGCCAACGTCCTCATTTCGAAGATCAGTTCGTGTCGACAAGGGCTGCGAGGGAAGAGTCCGCAGGATATGCGGCTGGAACTGCAGACCAGACTACGTATTGGTTGAGCTTGGGCACGAGATGTGTGCGTGGCTTCCTGCGACGCATGTCGAGCTGTTAGCAAAGCATGATTGGCCCGGATAGGAGATAGGTCGGCGCTTGTGGTCCTTGCTCGCACTCCGTGTTCGCAACGCGGGGGGTGTTAAGCGCTACCTTTGCTTCATGCTGGCCAAGCTTTGCACTTGCAAGGGGTGTTGATTTCGGGCTCGTGCAATTGTATATCCTCTGCCGCATGCTTCAAGCTCAAGGCGGGCATGGCAGGCATAGGTTGCGTAGCCCACGCAGAGCACAAATAGTTCACGACCATGGATGGAGAGATGCCCTGTGCCAAAAGGAGGCTTCGGAGAGCTCGCAGGGAGGTCCAGTGTCATGCTAGAGATATGTTGACCAATGAAGCGCAGCGTCTTCGGAACAATGTTGAGTACTTGGAGTGGCATGTATGCTACTTGAGTCAGCAGTCTTGGAAGGCAACTTCGCATCAGGACCAGGTCTCCAAACACCCCCTAAGGTCCGCCAGCCTCCAAGGATTTCTTGTATGGTCAACCCCAAAGGGGGGGGGGGGCCCCCCCCACCCCCCCCCCCCATGGCACCTTAAACCTCCGATATATCGGAGATTAAGGCCCCTGAGTGCTGTTTGGCCCAAGAACAAACTGGTAAACAAGAACTCCCGCAAGCTCCCAAGGAGCTAGCTTTCGTGATATTTTTGTATATTTTTTGTATATTATTGTATATTGTTGTCTATTATTGAATATTATTGTCAATTACTGAAAATTATTGTAAGTTATTCTTTTTTTTACGTGTATATTGCTGCATATTCTTGTACATACTTGCATATTGTTGTATTTTTCTGTATTATTCTAAATTTTGCATCGTTTTGTAATATATTCTTGTATATCATTGTATCTTACTGCGTCTTCATGTTTGAATTGCAAAAAAGTTCTCGCATCAGAAGGATTCATGTGCTTTGAAGCGGGCTTGCCCGGACTAAGAAAACAGCCGGGGGGGGGGGGGGGGGGTTGGGGGGGGGCGCAGCCCCCCCCCATTTGCAAACACAACGCTCGCATCATTGGTTTGGAAAGGATACTCATACAGTATGCTTGGAAGCAAGCTTGCCCGGCTTTAAGAAACAGCGGGGGGTTTGAAGGGGGGGCGCAGACCCCCCCCCCCATTTGCAAACACAATGCTCGCATCATGGGTTTCTTGCCCGGCGCCAAACAAACAAGACATATGTATTGTGTATTATCAATTCTATATCAAATAGCAGTAAATATATATATATATATGTACATATATGCTTTGCTATTTCGGTTTTAATATATTTTTGTGATACAAAGGTATACTCTACGATATTGTGTTCTATTCTACTCTATGCCACTCTAAATATTTTGTTATACTTTGTTTTAATATATACATATATATATATTAACATATGATGTTATGTTATGTTTTCCTACATATCCTTTCCTGTCCTTTCCTTGCTTCCTTGCTTCCTTGCTTCCTTGCTTCCTTGCTTCCTTGCTTCCTTGCTTCCTTGCTTCCTTGCTTCCTTGCTTCCTTGCTCCTTGCTTCCCTTCCTTGCTTCCTTGCTTCCTTGCTTCCTTGCTTCCTTGCTTCCTTGCTTCCTTGCTTCCTTGCTTCCTTGCTTCCTTGCTTCCTTGCTTCCTTGCTTCCTTGCTTCCTTGCTTCCTTGCTTCCTTTTCTTCCTTGCTTCCTTGCTTGCTTCCTTGCTTCCTTGCTTCCTTGCTTCCCTTCTTCCTTGCCTTGCTTCCTTGCTTCCTTGCTTCCTTGCTTCCTTGCTTCCTTGCTTCCTTGCTTCCTTGCTTCCTTGCTTCCTTGCTTCCTTGCTTCCTTCCTTCCTTCCTGCCTTCCTTCCTTCCTTCCGTCCTTCCGCCCTTCCTTCCCTCCCTCCCTCCTTTTCTCCCTCCCTCCCTCCCCTTCCCTCTCTCCGTCGGAAGAACAGAATACATTATTTCTTGATCCTAAATGAATTATTTTTTGATCATATGATCCTAAATAAATTTTTCTTGATCCTAAATACATTTTTTTGATCCGCATCCCCTCAGGGTTTACGGTTTAGGGTTTACTCGACGCTGTCTCTGAGCAACTGAGCGTTTGTGTTTTGATGCCCGTCTAGCAAAATGGGTTTCGACTTAGCGTCGTTTGATTTTGCTTGCGCAACCCGTCTAGCAATGGGTTTGCGGTTTTGCTTTTTTGCCGAAGCTCCACGGGGTTACTGCGCAGATGGCACTCAGACAGCCCAACTTCAGAGACATGTCGGTGGCATGGGGCAAGCGAAAAAGACCATCAGAGCGATGCTGCGCTTGCCATGCTTTCAACAAACGACCACTGAGATTCACACTTTGTTAAATATGAAAGCGGGAAAAGGGGAAAAACCCTTCTGCTCGGGCCCGGAAACCCCTGAGGACGCGGCGATCACCGGCCTGTCGGCGGACCCACTCTCGAACTTTCAAACGGTCTAAGACTCTAAAGGAGCTAAGGATTCGGAAGTTGCAGGACCGCAGGAACAGCCACACAATCGACTGCGGGAGCACGCGCTGCAGACACGCTGCAGATGGTT